GGTAGCCAGCAGCAAAGTATCTGTCTTCCCATCATACAGTATGGCTTGAATGGCAGCCTCAGGTGTCTGCTGTGTCTGGAAATCCATGGGAGTCCCTAAGTGATGGTAGCTCTTTCTGTTGGTGAGAGCCAGCATGCTGTAGTGGTTAAAGTGTCAGACTAGGATCTTGGAGACCCAGGTTTGAATCCCCGTGCTACCACGGAAGCTTGCTGGGTGACTGTGGGCCAGTTATATACTCTCAGCCTAACATACCTCACAGGGTTTTTGTGAGGATAAAATGGAGAAGAGGATAATGATATAAGCTGCTTTGGGTCCCCATTGTGGAGAAAAGCAGGGTATAAATGAAGCAAATATTAATCCCGAGGGCATAGCCTGACTAGTTGATCAGTTAGGAATATTGCAGGTGATGTCAGATTGATGTAGCCAGTTTCATCTTACATAGACATATAATAAACAAGGGGAGAGCACTCTTGTTGTATAGGGAAAAGGTCTGGTAGAGCACCCCAAGCTGGGGGGGGGGGCTTTGGCTGCCACCAGCCATAAATGTTTTGGGAGAAAATGCCACTACACATCTTGGTATGCTCAACTAAGACTAAGGAGCTGCAAAAGAAGAGAAAGCAAGATCTGAAGGAAGTTAACCCCTCCTTATTTATTTATTTAATTTATACCCCTCTCCCCCCACACACAGGGAAATCCCTTCCCTGATGCTGAGCTGTTGAGACATGTTTGTTGAATGTTCAAAGAGATATAACAACAACTTATTCTAAGTAAAACAAACAGAGTTTATTTAGACACAAAGAAGTAGAAGGCCAGTGAAAATTTGAATGAATAGAAATCTAACTGGACTCAGGTAAAATCAAAAGCAAATAAAAAAGTAAACACACAAGGCCAGCTAAACACAGTAGATGGTATAATATAAAATACCTTTTGGTAACAGATTTAAATACCAGAATCTAGCCTTTCTCTTTCACTGCAGACAGAGAAAGAACAATGAGCCAGCAGCTTAGGGTCCCAGTTTGAACTCTAGAGTCCAGTTCTCCCATTGGCTGATTTCCAGGAGAAATCTGGTTTGCGGGGACAGCTCTTGCCCCTCATCTAAAGCTATTATGTATTGATCCAGGACAGCACTGTGAATAGACTGAGCATGAGTTACTTGAACAATGGGCCGCCAGGATCCTGGGATGGACCTATTGATTTAGGGTTACACTGTAAATAGCCAATCACGGGGAGTGGGGGTGTGTGTTGTTTTGCATGAATATAAGCAGGGCTCAGCTCCACAAAGTTTGTCTTTGAGTTAACTGAAATCACTAAATAAATATGAACTGATCACTAAATGCATCTTGAACCCAGTATATTATAAAAGCCAAGTGCTTTTCCAAGGCCAATGTAGAAGTGCAATGTAAATCCCTTCTGGGATTTGATTATACTAACAGAGAGTTCCATTTCAGATGCAGAGAAAAAGATTTTGGTGGAGGGAAGCAGAATGCTAAGGTGCTACAACTTCAGAATGCCGTGTGATTTTGTCCTTTTGTAGATGGTTCTACATAGCACCGCTCTGGTGGACAGTTGTGGTTTAAAGACAGCCAAGCACCTGCTTGCAGACCTGCAGTCTGTGAGCACTGTTCATGCTGAAATACAAGTTACTTGACTTAAGTGATGTGTCAATATTTCTCCTTGTTATTGGTCTAGCAGTTTCAGTTTTTTTACATTTATGAATTATAGAGATCGATTTTTCTACAGAGAAGCTATCAAGATTGTACTTCATTGTGCTGAAACTGTACAATTGATTTTACATTTGTAGTTGGTTATTTAAAGTGTTTGTATGAACTCCTGTGTGTGTCATTTCCCAGTATGCTCTCTGATGCATTAGGACTTATTCATGTGTCTCGGGGTTTATCAGGCTTTGCCATTAAATACAGGAGTCTTGTCTGAGTTTGTACTGAGATGGGATTGGAGCCTTAGGTATAGTAAGTATAGCAAGGATAGAGCTTTCTGGAGCCAGCCTAATGTATTTATATATCTTTTAAACTTGAAGCTCTGAAGTCAACCCAAATCCATCATATAGCTTCACAAGAGTGCAGTGGACTACTTGTCATGTATAGCTGAAACCTAGCTCTTCCAATAATTATTCCTTATAGCACCCACTCTATGTTCCAGGCAAGTGGTCAATTTCTTTATAAAATTAGAATAATTTCATCATTACTAGTGGTAGGAAAAGACAACACTAGATGCTTGGAGGTAGTACTTTGATAAATAAGAGGATTATCTTATATCTTATTGTTTGAGCATATTTGGGATGACGCACAGGGCATACATTAATCATGTGGCTCTTTTGGTTGATAGGAATTCCAGCCCCCCCCCCCCCCCCCCGAATCCTCCAGCAAGGAATAATGGACCTGAAAATTTTTGGAGTTCTAAAAAAAGAATCAGAATTCTGAAATGGTATACAGGACACAAATATTCCAAAAAATATTAATATGGAACTCATTCCTGAAATCTGAATCTGAAAAATTCAATTTTTTCCCCGTGTAAACCTCCCTAGTTGAGGTGGTGGGCAGGCAGAGTTTTCCAGTGGTGCCCAGGGTTGAATATTTTTGTGAAACATTGCACTATATCTTACTGCCTGTCTTCTCAAAAAATGGAATATGTGACAACCTATGCTTTTAAAAAATGTTCCAACTAAAAGTAAAAACACTCCTTTCATTTGTTAGCTTAATACTTTGTGACCTTTGGATAGGATGAGGTGGTATTGCACATCAGATTTGTGTGTTGCCAGTACTTCACTTGAAACAATGACAAAGTGGACAGAAAAAATGACATTTAAGTCTGACACTGCTGCTGTTGGAAAATATTAAATTATTACAGTTTAAATTTTGTGCATGTTTGTAAATTGAGGGTACTTTTCAAAAGATGGTGTGACTTCTGTATGTGCAAACTGGAATGAATGTTCCCTGCCCCCCAAAGTGAATTTGTCTGTGATTATATTTTGCTTTCCCTTAGTCTGAACTTGTATTTTTGCTGGGTGCAACTTATATGCTACTACTATCAACTATGATATTGTGATATCACGGTTTTCTAGAACCCAAAGTGGAGCAACTCCCTTGCTTGTGCTGATAGGAATTGTGTTGAAATTGTTTGCGCAGAAGGTTGGCTCTTTGCTTATTTTGCTGTAGCAGCAGTTCAGATGATGATTGGCATGTGAAGATTATCTTTTGCTATTTGGTTAATGCCCTGTATGCTCGCTGGTAAAGAGGCAAGAAGATTTTTTTTTTTTTAAGATTTCAGTACAACAAGACAAGAAGTCATTATTTGTATGTTCTGCCCACTGGGGAAAGTCCTGAGAATTTTTGAACAACCTTATGTTGCAGCTCGATAATGATTTGGATTTATGGATTCTAGTACAGAAGGCCCCCACTGTCATCCTCACTGTTAACATGAATACTGTCTTTTCATACTCATTTTAATGAAAGTGAAAAGGATTATGAATAGTTCAAGACTTTGTATTAGAGAGTAGGAAAAGTGCACAAATAGTAATAGTAAACTTGAAGTGGCGGGGGTGGTGGTGGTCTGGAGCCAGAAGCTTTTGATCTTAATGAAATTCCTATTTATTTGAAAATAATACATTTTCCCCTTAGAATAAAAATTACCTGTGTAACAAGTATGAATAAGTAGGTGATCCTAGGAAAACTTTGGAGCAGATTTCTGCAGCAGAAATGAGTTGGGTAAATCAGGAGTATGCAAATATATCAGTGTAAGTTATATTTTATGAGTATCAAATTAAGCCAGAGCCCCCCTGAAGAGTGGGCAGATGTTCTGAACTGTTGCATTTAAACTAATTCCTAACGTGAAAATACAGAAGAATATTTCATCCGTGGCCATGGGTCACTTTGTAACTCTAGCACCTCCTTGGTTTTATAGCCACAAAGAGGACAGTAGTAATACAGAACAAATGATCGGGGAATCGAAGTAGATAAAGAAGAAATGTTCTTCATTAGGGCCTTAAATTTCAACTGCTTTAATATAAAATAGTGATGCTGAAAATATTTATGTATTTATCCAATTAATACCCCGCCTGCCCCGCAAGCAGGCTCAGTGTTTTGAACACTTATATGTTTCTATATTTTGAACACTTATATGTTTCTATTTTAGGATCCATATACGTAGGGTCAAGCTATTCTAAGTTTCTGATGGCAAAGATTTCTGTAGGCTTCTGTGGCATTTTCAGTCACCTGTAGTCTGCTTTTACTCTGCTGGAAACACAAGTCCTTCTCCTACTTAATGCTTTCACTTTTCTCACTACCTGTGCATGTCTCACTTAAGCAGTCATACCTTCCCATGTGAAGTTTAATTTACTTGCTTAATTTCTGTAGGAATTGCTCTTCTTAGTAAAAATGATTAACACTTTTACTGTGCAATCCTAAGGAGAGTCAAACATAAGAACATAAGAGAAGCCAGTGTTGGATCGGGCCAATGGCCCATCCAGTCCAACACTGTCACACAGTGGCCAAAAATACCAGGTGCCATCAGAAGGTCCACTAGTGGGGCCAGGACACCAGAAGCCCTCCAGTCCCATAGACTGGAGTAACTCTTCTTAGGATTGCACTGTTACTGTTGTTATTCAGAAGTGTTTACTTGGCTAAAAAGGAGTGAATTTGTTTTACAGTTGAACAAAAGAGACTTCTAAAATTTCTGAGGCTTGAAATTATTATTATTGCAGGCATCAACAAAGAGTTATAGATTTTTCAAGTCTGGTGGGGTTGAAGCATCCAGTGCATAAGTAAGAACTATCCGGACTTCTCTGCCTATCTGGAAATATAGCTGCTATATTGCTGTTTCTGTTTTTAAGCTAATTCTCATTTATCCAACCAATTAAGTCTGTGTAAAGTTCTTTAATAAATATCCCGTTAGATTGTTTTGAAGCATTCTAAAAACAAAACAAAACCCAATCATTTTGCAGTTAGAGTATGAAACTTATTAAAGTAATGTTATCACTCTTCCAGCACTATGGAATCCTTGGTTTCTTGTGAAGTATGTGAAGCCCCAGAGGAAATGACAGCGCCACTGAAACAGTGTGTTGCCTGGCTTCAGGCCTATTTCTGTGAGCCCTGGATGATAGAGAAACTGACAATGCCTCCTTTTCACCATCCACTTTTGGAACAAGGTTTGTAAATCTGTTTAATACAATTTTATTCCACCTTTCCTCCAAAGGGCTCAGGTTGGTGTCTATAGTTGCCCTTCCCTTTTTATTCGTACTATTCTGTGTGGTAGGTTAGGCTGAGAGAGTGTACGTGAGGCTAGATCAACATATGCAACTGAATGAAGTGGGTAGACTAGGGCATCCAATTGAATGAGGTGATAGAATAGGGCATTCTATTGATGAATGCTGACACATAAAGCAACACTCCCAGTAGTGAGGAATGACAACCTTACATGCTCAAAGGAATTCTAGTAATTAAAGGTTATATGTTATGGTTCTATGTTAGCATTTTGCATATTTAGGGTGGTATGCAGGGTATACTGTAGTCAAGTGGCTCTTTTGGCTTATGAGAATTGTGAATGGGGTTGTCCGTGACCTATGGAGTATCACTCACTACACTACACTGACTTGTATTGTAGGATTATCATATGTGGTGCTGTTAAATATGCCCTTTTGATATTGTTCCAGTAGTGTGAGAGTCACTTATCCACGAGTAGTTCCTACATGGCTGTGAAATAGTTAAATGACTCTAGTTAGCAGAAACTGATTACCCAAAGGTGTCAGTTCCATGATGGGGTGGAGCATAAGGTTGAGTTAAACATTCTCCCAGTCTTATGGGAGGTGCTCACAGATAAGTGATTGGTCAAAGCTGGAAGAATGTCTAAAGGGTACTTCATATAATATCTTAAATGTGTCTTGACTGTTAGTCATCACAGAGATCACATTTTAATTTAATTGGCTACACTAGCAACTAGACATTTCACAATGACTGGGACTTCCGGTTTATAGTGACACGCTGGCGGACGCATCTCCCGGACCTCCCGGGGATGTGATCTGCGCACAAGCGGAAAGGGGGGGGCGATGGGTCGCTACCTCCCGGAGACTTCGCAAAAGGCTCCTAGCTTTTGAGGGGTGGCCTCTTCGCCAGTGCGATGCTGGGGAATTGAGGCGCTGCTCCGCCCCGACTGTCCTGCCGCTGAGTGTCCGTATGGATCTAGAGCCGCTGATCCGGACAAGCGTTGGAGATGGAGCGTTTTGAACGTGTGCCAAGCGAGGTCGTATGACCAACAATAAACTGTGAGTCGGGTTAAAGCGAAATGAGAATTTAAAAAGAAAACTACCCCCTGGGAATGATGAAAAAAGCGAGCGGGGGAGTGGCCCCTCCCATACTCATGAACTAAACAACGAAATACCAAGGAGGGAGCGGAAGAAAAAGCATTGAAATCTGTTTTGAGAGACTTACCAGGGCGCAGATAAGGGTAAGGGCATATTTCAGAGTCTTCCATAACAGTAAACAATCCATACAGATGATGGGGAAGAGGAAGACAAAACAGAAAAAGTGAAACCAACCGGGATCTTGAGCCCTCGACCGGAAGAGACCACTGAGTTTTCTAAAATGTTGGCAGATTCCTTGCGCCCTCTGCTGGACCAGATGACTAACATCAAACAACAGCTGACAACTCTAAACCAGAATCTTGCAACTCAGCAGCTCCAACTGACTGAGACTTTAAAAATAAGGGAGCAAATGGATGAGAAGGTGAAGGAAATGGACACCAACACTAAAAAAAGTCAAGAAAAAGGTGCAAAAGCTGGAAAAGCTGGAAAAGAAACAAGCCTCGGAAGAATCACAACTTCTACAGCTGCAAATGGAGGTAGCAAATCTGGTCCTACGGTTTCTAGGGGTCCCTGAATCGAAAGGTGAGAATATAAAGCAACTTCTGAGTGAAGCATTAGCCCCAGTTACAGATTGGAAAGCGGAGTATCTTGCAAGCTAAATGGATGTGGTTTATAGGTCCTATTTCGTGGACATCAAAAAGAATAATCTGCCTGGGGAAATAGTGGCTAGATTCTCAAAGCGACATGTGAAGGATTCTATCCTGAAAGCAACTACAGGAACACCTTTGAAAATCGGGGACAATACCATTA